GTGTGTGTGTGTGTGTGTGTGTGTGTGTGTGTTCGAGGAAGATCAGCCCTGAGCTAACATCCATGCCAATCCTCCTCTTTTTGCTGAGGGAAGATTGGCCCTGAGCTAACATCTGTGCCCATCTTCCTCCACTTTATATGGGACGCCACCACAGCATGGCCTGACAAGCGGTGCATCAGTGCATGCCCAGGATCCAAACCCGGGCCACCAGCAGCAGAGCATGTGCACTTAACTGCTATGCCGCAGCCCGGCCCCGTTTTTTTTTTTTTTTGTTTTTTGTTTTTTTCTGCGTGAGGAAGATCAGCTCTGAGCTAACATCCATGCCAATCCTCCTCTTTTTACTGAGGAAGACTGGCCCTGGGCTAACATCTGTGTCCATCTTCCTCCACTTTATATGGGACACTGCCACAGCATGGCTCGACAAGCGGTGCCTCGGTGCACGCCCGGGATCCAAACCCGGGCTGCCAGCAGCGGAGCACATGCACTTAACCACTACGCCACGGGGCCAGCTCCTGTAGGCCGTTTTAAAGACCTTGGTTCTCTGAGTAAAATGGAAAGTTATTGGAGGCTTTTCAGCAGAGGAGTTTTGTGTTTTGACTTGTATTTTAAATGATCACTCTAACTGCCGTGTTGAGAGTAGAGTGCAGGGGATGGAGTTGAGAGTGGAAGCAGAGAAACCACCAGTTAAGGAGCTGTTGTAGTCATCCAGGTAAGAGATTATAGTGGGTTGAACCAGGGTGGTATTGGCATGAGTGGTTGTCAGATTCTAGATATTTTGATTGTAGAGTGAATAGGATTTGCTAATGGATTGAGTGTAGGATGTAAGACAAAGAACGGAGTAAAATTTCTCCAACCAAGTTTTTTGTCATAAGCAACTGGCAGAATAGAGTTAGTTATTACTGGAACGTAGAATTCTGAGAGAAGAGCAGGTTTTGGTAGAAGGAGGTATATATCAGGAGCTCAGTTTTGGACTTGTTAAGCCTGAGAGACCTGTTAGACATCTAAGGGGAGATATGGAATAGGCAATCAGATATGTATGAGTCTGGGGTGGAGGGCAGAGTCAAGATTGGAGGTACAAATTTGAAAACTTAGTGTGTATATGGTATTTAAAACCGTGAGACTTCATGAGGTCACCAAGGCAATAAGTATAGATAAAGATGAAGAAGAACTAGCAGTGACTGAAAATTAATGACCTATGAGGAAGGAGGAAAACCAGGAAGATGTGATATCCTGGAAGCCAAATGAAAAGGTTTCAAGGAGGAGGGGGAGAGGCACCCTCGGTTCCCAGCAGGAAAATGGTGTATAGAATTAACGATCATAATTATCTCTTTTCACTCTTTTTCACAAAATTCTTCCCCAAAGGACTGAAGATTTTAAGCAGATATATACAAGGTAGAAGAACACAAGAACAGAACATTACATCTCCTCATGACTTGCTCAAAATCAGAATGGATTAACAAAGTGTGCTTGATAAGAAAGCTTTCCCCAAAGCTAATTAAAAAACTCTCCCTCTCCCCTTCTCTTTATGTCCCTCCTCCCCCTCTCCCCTCTCCTCCTCTCCCCCGTCTACCTTTCCTCTCTCCCCCTTTTCCCCTTCAACCTCCCTCCCTCACTCATATAACATGGTATTCCCTCCCTGTCTGTGTCGTTTATCTTCCTGAAAATTTCTGTGGTAAGATTGTTCAAAGTAGAGGAACTCAAGATCTATGTTATCAATTGGAAGATTTGTGAATGAACCTTTTAAAGCTTATAAGTAATTATTTTTCTTTCCCTAAGATAAAACAGTAGATACTGCTCACCAAATAAAGATAATATCAGTGGCTTTGTATTTATCTTAAATTTAGCATAATGGGTTCTCTACCTTAATTTCCACTTACTATTTCTTGCTTATTAGAAACTTTTCTGCATCTCCCTCCTATAATTTCAGTGAAAAAATTGTAATTTTGTTTTGCATTGTTACAGATAACTTTCATACTAAGGAGTCTTTTGTGTGTGCTTATCCATCCAAATATTAAATGCCATTCTGATTTTATTTGAAAATAATCAGGAAGAATGCCTTATCAAACTCCAAAAGTCTGGGGCCGGCCCTGTGGCTTAGCGGTTAAGTGCACACGCTCCACTATTGGCGGCCTGGGTTTGGATCCTGGGCGCACACCGACGCACCGCTTCTCCAGCCATGCTGAGGCAGCGTCCCACGTACAGCAACTAGAAGGATGTGCAACTATGACATACAACTATCTGCTGGGGCTTTGAGGGAAAAAAAAAAAAGAGGAGGATTGGCAATAGATGTTAGCTCGGAGCCAGTCTTCCTCAGCAAAAAGAGGAGGATTGGCATGGATGTTAGCTCAGGGCTGATCTTCCTCACAAAAAAATAAATAAATAAATATCCAAAAGTCATAGAAGGTCAGGATTTGGAACTACTTTAAAGAATACTGCGTTTTAAAACATCACATTCCCACCAGCAGGCACATCTGATGATGTTGGAGAGGGAACCAGTCTGTACCTGCTATGCTGTTTTTTTCTGTTCCTAACCACTCATTCTGAATTTTTGTGTATTTGACAGGTGTGAAAAGACAGCATGAACTTTACCCCGACACGTACCCCTGTCTGCAGAAAGTAAGACGTTTGCTTATTTATGAGTTGTTAAAATAAAGAATCGAGACTTCTATAGCCTTAGCACAAGTTACCTTAGGAACCAGGAGGGTTTTGGAAGCATACTTACAAACTCTGGGTTTGGAATATATTAGACCTCACTTCTCTATTCTTATTATTTAGAATTTAGATGAAAAATTAGGACACATTGAATGTTAATACCAGAATCCAGGCAGTTTGAGTGGGCCTCAGCCAGTGCCAGTGGGTCCTGGATTACAGCACAACCAACCAACATACAAAGACGGGACTTTGAGTTCTGGTTCTGCCATCAGCTTGCGGCAGGACACCTCATCTTCCTCCTCATCCTCACTGCCACAACTCTCATCGGCAAAATCTCAGCAATACCTCTTAGTTCGTCTGTTAACCTATTTTCCAGGGTCTTTATAAGGCGACCGCCTTTGAAAACATGAAACATTAAGTAAAATAGTATTTCCGTCATGAGCTTTTAATGACTGAGAAAATATTAGGTTTTTTGTTTCTTCATGCTAGCTGAAAGTAAATTTTAATGTCTCTTGTATACATGCTCACTTACTGAAAGTGCTGGCCATAGCTCATTAACTACAACTCGGGGCTTCTGGTGTAAAATTTCTCCACTCTGCTATCTAATTGTTCTATTGTAAATTGCAGGCAGTTAGCCAAAGTGGATTAATTTTCACACAAGAGTTTTTCCGCTTCTGCATCACTTTTTTTCTAACTTTCATTGTTTTTGCTTAAGTCTGTTGTTTTCTAAAAGCAAACAGACAAACTTCTTGTCCAGCTTTTGATCTTGTCTAGTCTTGGTCTGTGTAATTCAAATGTCTCCAGTGCTAGAGATTAGGGTCTGATGTGGTTGTTGGGTTACTAACGAGGCAACATTTTCTTTCTTTTTTTTTTTTTTAATATAATTTTATTTATTTATTTATTTTCCCCCAAAGCCCCAGTAGATAGTTGTATGTCATAGCTGCACCTCCTTCTAGTTGCTGTATGTGCGACGCGGCGTCAGCATGGCCGGAGAAGTGGTGCGTCAGTGCGCGCCCGGGATCCGAACCCGGGCCGCCAGTAGCGGAGCGCACTCACTTAACCGCTAAGCCACGGGGCCGGCCCATGGCAACATTTTCTAATCCTGAATCTTGTCATTCCCTTCCTTAATAATTTTGCTACTTATATAACTAGCCCTAAAAATAAACTGTTTTTTTGTTTTTGTTTTTTGGTGAGGAAGATTGGCCCTCACCGAACATCTGTTGCCAATCTTCCTCTTTTTTTTTTTTTTGCTTGAGGAAGAGTGGCCCTGAGCTAACATCTGTGTGAATCTTCCTCCACTTTATACGTGGGACACCGCCACAACATGGCTGAATGAGTGGTATGTAGATCCATGTGCGGGATGCAAACCCCCGGCTGCCGAAGCAGAGCGCACGAACTTAACCACTATGCCACTGGGCTACCCCACAATAAACTGTTTTAATTTGCAAGTTCCTATCTTAAATAAGTGGTAATGTCTTCTGTATATGCATGTACATACATTTTTCCATTTAATAGCATTTGGATGATTTATTCATATTCATACATGTATCTCTAATTTATAGTTTCTAATAACTCTGAATAATATTCCATTGTATGACTATACCACCGTTTAGCCATTATCCTATCAAATGGACATTTGGAAGGTTTACTGTTTTGTTGTTACAAATAGTGTTACTATGAACATTTTCATATTTGTCACCTTGTACATATGTGCATGAGTTTGTCTAGGAAGGAACTGCACTTTTACTAGATTCTGCCAGTTAACTCTCTGTAGTTTCACCAACTTACACTCTACCAGCAGTGTATGTGTTCCTGTTGCTATATGTCTTATAGGATTTTCTGTTACTACCTGGTCTTAATTTATATTTAATTTTTTTTAATGATCTTTTTATTCTCTAACATGTATTTTGAAACGAGCTTAAGCCTTTAATACTTGGAAAGCAGTTCATAAGGTTCTTCACTAACCTGTAACATCGAACTTTCAAGGTTTATGAGCACCGTAATTATAAGCACTTTAAGAACATAAACCCCTTTTTTATTTAAGAAATTATAATGTCTGGGCCGGCCCCGTAGCTTAACGGTTAAGTGCGCATGCTCCGCTGCTGGCGGCCTAGGTTCGGGTCCCGGGCGCGCACCGACGCACCGCTTCTCCGGCCATGCTGAGGCCACGTCCCACATACAGCAACTAGAAGGATGTGCAACTATGACATACAACTATCTACTGGGGCTTTGGGGGGAAAAAAAGTAAATAAATCTTTAAAGAAAAAAAAGAAGTTATAATGTCTTATAAATGTTCAGACAGTTTAATGAATATGTCCTTTCTAATTTCACCTGGGCTGACAACTGTCTCCAAACATGGTGTTGCCTGTGGCTTCAGTGGTTCTACCAGGTGGAGAGGAGTGTCTTTCTCAGAGTCAATGGAGTCAACTCCCTTGCCTTCAATCAAAGATCGTCTGGCCCTCCTCTACCCTTCTCAGGAGCTTCTGGAATATTATCAAAAGAAGATGGCCGAGTGTGAGGCAGAAAATGAGGACCTATTGAAGAAACTGGAACTATACAAGGAAGCTTGTGAGGGACAGGTAAAAGAGAGATGGTGCATGCCCTTTTAGGTCTCTGTTCATTACTGAGAGAAGATCTAGAAGTGCCAGCTTGTATCCCAAGCAGATATTTTATAAAAAGTATTCTTTTTTGACTCCCTTCTGCCCCAGCTTAGCTACCTACCCTTTGGATCCCTCATTGGATCATAATCCCCCCAAACTGCTCCACCTCTAAAATGTTGAACTCTTACATCTCGATCTCTCTTATACTTCTAGTTCTTTCAACCCCTTATGCCTGACTTCATTTAACTTTATTGTTACCTCCGTAGCTCCTTCACGTTTCAGTTTTCTAAGTGTTGCATGTCAGCTTCTGACATCATGTCCTTCCTTTCTAACGAACCCCATCATGCTTCACTTCAGCGATAACTGTACTGCCTGAACATGACCCCCTGCTTACTCTTCTCCTGCACTTGCATAGCAAACCCTGAGCCGTAACTCAATCCAGTTCTCTACCACCTATTCTCCTGGAGCGGGAGTTCTTAACCTTGGCATTATTGACATTTTGGGCTTGGTAATTCTTTGTTGTGAGGACTGTCCTGTGCATTGTAGACTGTTTAGCAACATCCTCGGCCTCTACTCACTAGATACCAGTAGCACACTGCCCCCTACTCCACCCCAGTTGTGACCATCAAAAATGCCTGGAGACATTGCCAAATTTCTCTTGGGGGCATAAGCAAAATCGCCCCCAATTGAGAACCACTGTCCTAGGAATGTCAAATTATTGCAGAAATTCATGGTAAACAAATTCGTGTGTATCCTCAGTGATTACACAGCAGTTTTCTTCCCTATCTATAGTTGGTTCCCTCCCCTCCACATCTGTACCATACCTTCACTACTCTCTTCCACTACTCTCTGCAACGGCTTCTTAGCCCTCCTCTCTCATCACGTGGTCTTGCTTCCTAGTTCACAGAGGAAATACCAGCTATCATGCGTAAACTCCCTTCCTGCCCATCCACACAGTTACCTATATCTGTCTCTATCTTTCTTCTTTCTTTCTTTTTTTTTTTTGTGAGGAAGATCGGCCCTGAGCTAACATCTGCCAATCCTCCTCTTTTTGCTGAGGAAGATTGGCCCTGGACTAGCATCCGTGCCCATCTTCCTCCACTTTATATGGGATGCCGCCACAGCATGGCTTGAGAAGCAGTGCATCGGTGCACGCCTGGGATCCGAAGCCGGGTCACCAGCAGCAGAGCACGCTCAGTTAACCGCTACGCCAGAGTGCCGGCCCCTCTATCTCTCTTCTTTCTTATTGCTTCAGGGACAGGATGTCTCTGCCTATTCAAGCTGCATTGATCCAGCACTCCCTGTCCCCCATCCCTTTTTCCTCCTAAGAAACCATGCTTTATCATCTCTCTCCTCCTTGTGTTTTATTTTTAACCTTTTGCTTGACATTGGCTTTTTCTCCTCAGTATATGAACATACTCAAGTCTTTCCTAACTTAAAAGAAAAAACAAAAAAACACCCTTTTTTAGTTGTGCTTCCCTCTTTAGCTACTCTCATATACGTGGCTCTTTCTTTTCTCAACCACACTTCTAGCGTAGTTGACTTTATCACCCAGTCATTGACTCTTTGACTGCAGTTTGGTCTCTGTCCTCACTGTTGCACTAAAACTGCTCCTCCTGTGGTCTCCAATACCGGTTTGCCAAAATTTTCTCTGTGACAGTTGCAGTATTCATCACTATTGACCTCTCCTTTCTAAAAACTCTCTTCCTTTCTTGATTTCTGTGTCATTTTTCTTTCCCAGTTTCTATCTCACTTCTCTGACCAGTTCTTCTCAGTTTTCACTAACAGCTTCTCTTCCTTAGTCTTAAATGTCAAATTCTTCCAGATTCCACCATAAATGGTCTCATTTTATCCATGCATTATACTACTACATATGTGATGATGACATCCAAATAACTAAATGCTGACTGACTTTTCTCCTGAGCTCCACGTTAGTATGTCCATATCTGAACTAGTGTTCTTTTTTCTACCCTACCCACACATACGCATATACCACTACCATTTCCCCTCTCTCCATTCCTCATCTCTTAACTTTTCCTTTGTTCTGTGACTTAGTAAATGCTATCGTTGCCTGCAATTCTGCCCAGCCTCTACATTCAATCATTTGCTAAGTCCTGTTGGTTCTACTTCCTAAATAACCACTTGATCCATTCCAACAACTTCTTCACTATTGCCACAACACTAGTTCAGACTCTCATTATATCTCCTGAACTATTACAGTGTCATCCTTACCAGTATCCTGGCCTCCAGCCTCATACCTCTCCAGTCTGCCTCCCACTTTTCACCCCAGTAATACTGAAATATTTGTAGTTGTCCGAACATTTAAGGCTCTCTGATGGTTCTGTATTTACTACTCTTTCCTGAGAGTGCCCCCGCTCTGCTTGTCTCTAGCAGTCTTCATCCTTTAAGGTTCAGCTTTTTGGTGGTGTTCTCTGACTTCCCAGAAAGGCTTCCACGATTTTATTCCTGCTGCACTTCCCCCTCTGCCACTTACCATGCGTGCTCCTCCATGAAATAATTATTTTATTTTAATTGTTTGTATGTCTGTCTCCCCACAAAATTCCTTAGCTCTGTAGGCAGGAATCATACCTTTTCATCTGTGTTTCCCAACTTTCATAATGCTTATTACATAGAAAGTATTAAAAAGGAAGTGTGAGGGCCGGCCCCGTGGCTTAGCGGTTAAGTGCGCACGCTCCGCTGCTGGCAGCCCGGGTTCAGATCCCGGGCGTGCACCGACGCACCGCTTCTCCGGCCATGCTGAGGCCGCATCCCACATACAGCAACTAGAAGGATGTGCAGCTATGACATACAACTATCTACTGGGGCTTTGGGGGAAAAAATAAATAAATAAATAAAAAGTTTAAAAAAAAAAAAAAAGTGTGAGTTGGGGCCGGCCCAGTGGCACAAGTGGTTAAGTGCGCGTGCTCCACTTCGGCGGCCTGAGTTTCACAGGTTCCGGTCCCACGTGCGCACCGATACACTGCTTGTCAAGCCATGCTGTGGCGGCGTCCCATATAAAGTAGAGGAAGATGGGCACAGATGTTAGCTCAGGGCCAATCTTCTTCAAGAAAAAAGGGGAGGATTGGCATCGGAAGTTAGCTCAGGGCTAGTCCTCCTCACAAAAAAAAAAGTGAGTAGAGCGGGTGAATCATAGCATTCTAGGTTCTCCAGTCTGTAAAGGAAGATGTGAGAGCTTTGACATTGTATGTAAACATCACACACACCCTGTAGCTTTTAAACTCAAGTCTATACACAACCTGTTGTTGTCATCTGAATTCTGTATTGGTGAAACCATTCACTTTGTGATATTTCTACATGAACTGACTCCACCATATCCAATAAGAGATACGCCTATGAAGCCCAATATCTTTTCAACTACTTTTTTCTTTCCAGCATAAACTAGAATGGGATTTGCAGCAGAGGGAGGAGGAGATTGCTGAATTGCAGAAAGCTCTAAGTGATATGCAGGTCTGCCTCTTCCAGGAGCGGGAACATGTTCTACGTCTCTACTCAGAAAATGACCGGCTGAGAATCAGGTACCAAGTAGGGGGAGGGAAATTGTGGAGTTATAGTTCTAAGTTACACCAAACAAGATAAATTTCTCTATGGGCATTCTCTTAGGTTGTATTCCCCAGGAAACAGACTCTGAGATGGAGATTTGCCTTCAGGGTGGTTAGTAGGGAGGCTCTCAGGAATAATATCTGTGAGCACATTTCAGCAGAGGGAGAATTTGAACTGTGATACAGTGGTAACAGAGGCCTTAGCCAACCCCACAGGGAGCTCTGGGGCTGGGAGAGCCTTTCAGAGGCAAAGGAGTCAGACTTTTGTGCCCATGCAATGATCAGTCATTGGATTTAGGGCAAAAAAAAAGGAGGAGGATTGGCAATAGATGTTAGCTCAGAGCCGGTCTTCCTCAGCAAAAAGTGGAGGACTGGCATGGATGTTAGCTCAGGGCTGATCATCCTCAAAAAAAAAAATTTGACATCTTAGTATCAAGTCTTCCAATTCATGGACATGGGCTGTCTTTCCATTTATTTACGTGTTCTTTAATTTCTTTCACCGATGTTTTCAGTGTACAAGTCTTTGACTTCCTTGGTTAGATTAATTCCTAAGGGCCGGCCCCGTGGCTTAGCGGTTAAGTGCGTGCTCTCCGCTGCCGGCGGCCCGGGTTCGGATCCCGGGTGCGCACCGAGGCACCGCTCCTC